CCCCCCCCCTTGCACCTCAAAGCCCACACCCCCCTCCGACCCTCTGTCCCAGCCCTGCGCCCTTCAAACCCCAGCCCCACCCCAGCCCTCCTGCCCCAGCGCCCAGCCCCACTCAGACCCCCCTCGGCACCTCTCCCTCTGGCCTCAGATCCTGAGAGTGCAGAATAAATTTTGTTCTGGGCACCGCGCATTGGTGCGCAGCAGAAAATTCATTCTACTTGGGGGGAGGGTGGAAAAACAATCTACAGGGAGCCCCAGTGGCCTGCCCTCACTTCCCCCCTCTCCCCCGAGCGGCCGTTCAAGGGATAGACACATCCTGCCCCCCAAACCCGGGTCCGGCCTGGCAGCCGGAGAGGAGAGGGAAACACTTTTTTCATGGTCTGTGTCTTGGTTTACAAAGTAGCCCTCGGGCGTGTCTGTCCTGTCCCCACTCGCCCGTCTCCCCAGGCTTCGGGGCAGGAGGTGGAACCCCCAGAAATTTCAGGGAGCCAGAACGATCCCTCCCTCCGCCCCCAGAACGGGACCACGGTTTACCAAGGGCCATCAGGGTCTCGTAGCTCTCCTGCATGACATCCCGGTACAGGGCCCTCTGGCGCGGGTCCAGCAGCACGTACTGCTCCATGGTGAGGGGCGGGATCTGCAATGACAAACAGCGCCCCCCCACCCCAGCTCAGCTTGGACACGAGGGCGGCTGCTCCTAGGGGGAAATTCCAGTGCGGCCCAGCCCCTAGCTGGGTTCCGTGGGTCTCCTGGTGGTGCACATTCGTCTCTGCCACGGCGCAAGGAACAAAATTTATTCCGCGTGTACGTGGGAAAAAAATTCTGGCCGTGGAGAGAAAAGATCAGAGGGACGATCGTGGCCTGGTTCTGCCTCCGGGGGTGGGCTGTCTTGCTCCCATCCCTGCTGGGGAGGGTGCCTTCCAGCCCCTAGCTGGGTTCCGTGGGTCTCCTGGTGGTGCACATTCGTCTCTGCCACGGCGCAAGGAACAAAATTTATTCCGCGTGTACGTGGGAAAAAAATTCTGGCCGTGGAGAGAAAAGATCAGAGGGACGATCGTGGCCTGGTTCTGCCTCCGGGGGTGGGCTGTCTTGCTCCCATCCCTGCTGGGGAGGGTGCCTTCTTCGGTCCCGCAAGGAGAACGAAGGTGGGTGAGCCCCCGAGTGGAGGGGGAAGCTAAAGGTGGGGGAGGCAAGCCTCTAGCCCTGCCCCAAGCTCCGCCCCTTCTGCCCAGGCTCCGCCCCCCAGCATCACAGGGAGGGAGCTGCTGTCTCCCATGCCCCCGATGCAGACAGGGAATGGAGCAGAGCTATCCTGTCTATGTGTTTGGGGCTTTGGGAGACCCTGCAAGGCCTGTTAAAAATCCTGGCCTTTACCACGCCCTCCGGCGAGGAGTTCCACAGGTTGGCCGCGCGCCGGGTGAAGCCAAACTTCCAGTGGTTTGTTTGAAACCTGCCGCCTGTTCACACCCCTGGTGGAAACATCACTTAGTTACTTTCTTACTTTCCTTGCATGACTTATTCACTCTCTCCGCACCCGTCCCGATTTTACACACCTCTCTCCTATGGCTTCTAAGCTGAAAAGTCCCCGTCTTTTTCATCTCTCTTCCCCCTTCCAAACCCCTCCACAGTTGTGTGGCCCTTCTCTGAACTTTTTCCAAGGCCAAGAGATCTTTTCGGAGGGGAGGCGCCCACAGCTACGCGCAGAATTCAAGCTGTGGGCGTCTCTTGGATTTACACAGGGGTGATAAGCGCGTCTCGGTCTTATTCTCGATCCCTTTTTTAAGGATTCCTCACGCTCGGTTGGCTGTTTTGACGGCCGCTGCACACAGAGCGATCCTCTCTCGGCCACGCTTTCTAGGTCCTCTACTGCGTTCGTTTTCCTCCCGCCGGGGTGAATCCGCCGCTTTACCCCCTCCCCCGCCCATCGCGGCTCCTTTGTTGACCCGGAGGTTGCTCCGCCCCTCTGCCGTCGTTAATCGTTAACCCCTCGCAGGAGTTTCGAGACCGATTCCCAGGCGAGAACAGAACGCCAACGGAGCGTGGGCGGAAAGACTTTGGACAAGCCAAGTTCCGCCCGGCGACCGCGTCTCCGCGCTCCACCAGGGTCCACAGACACCTGCGACCCAGCCGGCGATTTGCCCAGTTTCACAGCTGGTGGCGTAAAACGCCCCGGCGAAGCCGGTGCAAAGAGAAGATCCACGCGACGACACGTTCCTACCGTGCGCTAATAGTCGGGGGACGGAGGCGCCCGAAAGATACACCGGCCTTAGAAAAGGTTCAGAGAAGGGCGACGAAAATGCGGAGGGGTTTGGAACAGGACCCATAGGAAGAGAGATTAAAAAGACGGAGACTTTTCAGCTTGGAAAAGAGGAGACTGAGGGGGGATAGGAGAGAGGGCTCTACAATTGTGAACGGTGTAGAAAAAGTGAAGAAGGAAAAGTTCTTGACTTGTTCCCAGAATATAAGGACTAGGGGTCACCCAATGAAATGAACAGGCAGCAGGTTTAAAACAAACAAAAGGAAGTTTTTTTTCACATAGTGAACAGGCAACCTGTGGAACTCCTCGCCGGAGGAGGTTGGGCAGGCTAGGACTGTAACAGGGTTTAAAAGAGAACTAGATACATTCATGGTGCTTAAGTCCGTCGATGGTGATTAGACAGGTAAGGAACGGTGTCCCTACTTTGTCCGAGGCTGGAGATGAGAGCGCTTGATCATTTCCGGATCGGTTCACGCGCCCTGGGGCACATGGCGTTGGCCACTGTCGGCTGACAGGACACTGGGCGGGATAGACCTTTGGTCTGACCCCGTCGGGCCGTTCTTACGTCGGAGAACCAGGCTGTCGTTTTGCAGACGCTTGGAGAGCGAGACCCGATCCCGCCAGCTTGGGGAAGCCGGGTTTTGAAAACCAACTTTAAATCCGGCTGGCAAGAGATTCTCCGGGGACTGAAATCGGGGTCACTCATCAGCCCGGATCAGCACACGAACGGCCACGAAAGGCCCATCGAGCCCGGCCTCCCGTCTGCCCACGGTGGCCAACGCCAGGTGCCCCAGAGGGAGGGAACAGAACAGGGAATCCTCACGGGATTGCCACTGATAGAGTGAACTTCCATGAATCCATCTAGCCCTGTTATTGTGTTGGCCTAATATCCCCTGGCGAGGAGTTCCACAGGTTGGCGGCGTGTGAAGAGAAACTGCCTTGGGCTTGTTTTAAACCTGCTCTCTATTTACCCTTCAGCAAGTTAAATGCCACAAGGCCGGGATGATACCCGAATGGCCTCAAAAGTTAACTAAGGGACCCTTCCCCACACACCCCCTCCAAGTCACCCCGAAGGATACCTCCCTCCCGCACTAAAGTCGCTCACACCTCTAGGAACCGAATCGTTGTTGTTGTTTTTAAAGAGCCGGGACAACGACAAGAACAACAAAACCCCACAATGCATTGTCCCGGCTCTTTGAAAACAACCGCCACCACCCCAAAAACCCCCACCCCCCAATTTGCACCCACAGAAGTCAGCCGCAGGGAAGGGGGGGGGGGATTCCCCGCTTTCCGAGGTTTCGCTGTACGTCCAAGTTTTTTGCAACGGATCGTGGACTTTTAGCGAGGGCGACCCCTGTTAACACACCCCCCAACCCCGGCCATGGGGTGGGTTTTTTCCACCCCCCTCTTTTTCTGTTATGCATCAGGCGGTGGCTGGCGCCCCCCAGCTCGTGAACTTGGGGCTGTTGGCTAGTTTCTCCGGTGGTTTCTCTTGCAGTGGGGGG